CCTCCACCCTCCACTGTCCTCCCTCCACTCTCCTCCCTCCACCCTCCACCCTCCAAACTCTACCCTCCACCTTCCACCCTCCACCCTCCTCCCTCCACCCTCCAAACTCCACCCTCCACCCTCCACCCTCCACCCTCCTTCCTCCACCCTCCTCCCTCCACCCTCCACCCTCCACCCTCCTCCCTCCACCCTCCTCCCTCATCCCTCCTCCCTCCACCCTCCACCCTCAACCTCCACCCTCCACCCTCCACTGTCCTCCCTCCACCCTCCTCCCTCCACCCTCCACCCTCCAAACTCCACCCTCCACCCTCCACCCTCCACCCTCCACCCTCCTCCCTCCATCCTCCACCCTCCACCCTCCACCCTCCTCCCTCCACCCTCCACCCTCCACACTCCACCCTCCACCCTCCTCCCTCCACCCTCCTCCTCCACCCTCCACCCTCCATCATCCCTCCTCCCTCCACCCTCCACTCTCAACCTCCACCCTCCACCCTGACTGTCATCCCTCCTCCCTCCTCCCTCCACCCCCCTCCCTCCTTTCTCCACCCTCCACTCTCCTCCCTCCACCCTCCACTCCACCCTCCACCCTCCACTACACTCTCCACCCTCCACCCTCCATCCTCCCCTCTCCTCCCTCCACCCTCCACCCTCCACCTTCAACCTCCTCCCTGCACCCTCCACAATCCACCCTCCTCCCTCCATACTCCTCCCTCCATACTCCTCCCTCCACCCTCCACCCTCCACCCTCCACCCTCCACCCTCCATCCTCCACGCTCCTCCCTCCACCCTCCTCCCTGAACCTCCACCCTCCACGCTCCACTGTCCTCCCTCCACCCTCCTCCCTCCACCCTCTTCCCTCCATCCTCCTCCCTCCACCCTCCACTCTCCTCCCTCCACCCTCCACCCTCCACCCTCCACACTCCACCCTCCACCCGCCTCCCTCCACCCTCATCCATCCACCCTCCACCCTCCAGCCTCCACCCTCCGTCCTCCACCCTCCTCCCACCACTTTCCTCCCTCATCCCTCCACCCTCCACACTCCACCCTCCTCCCTCCACCCTCCTCCCTCAACCTCCACCCTCCACCCTCCACTGTACTCCCTCCAACCTCCTCCCTTCACCCTCCTCCCTCCTTTCTCCACCCTCCACCCTCCACCCTCCTCCCTGCACCCTCCATTCTTCTCCCTCCACCCTCCAAACCACCCTCCACCCTCCACCCTCCCCTCTCCGCCCTGCACCCTCACAACCGCCCTCACAACCCCCCAGAGCAGCGGCGCCTCTCCCTCCCAACCCCCCAGAGCAGCGGCGCCTCTCCCTCACAGCCCCCCAGAGAAGTGGCGCCTCCTCCTCACAGCCCCCCAAAGCAGCGGCGCCTCTCCCTCACTACCCCCCAGAGCAGTGGCGCCTCGCCCTCACAACCCCCCAGAGCAGCGGCGCCTCCTCCTCACAGCCCCCCAGAGCAGCGTCGCCTCTCCCTCACAGCCCCCCAGGGCAGCGGTGCCTCTCCCTCACAGTCCCCCAGAGGAGCGGCGCCTCTCCCTCACAACCCCCCAGAGCAGCGGCGCCTCTCCCTCACTACCCCCCAGAGCAGCGGCGCCTCTCCCTCACAGTCCTCCAGAGGAGCGGCGCCTCTCCCTCACAGTCCCCCAGAGCAGTGGCGCCTCTCCCTCTCCCTCGCGTGCACAAGACAGCATCCAATCAATCGCACGCCACGTTCATCTAATGGCGACGATCTGCGTGGGACGCTGCTACTTGCTGCTGCCGCCCTGAAGGATTGCGACTCACTTTCTGCGTCCACGCTTCTCCTGTAAGAAGTCTCCCCTCCGCAACCCGTCCTTCCTTTTTCCTTTGCTATCCCCATCTGTCTGTTTCACGTGCATTCGTTTCTTGGCGCATGGTGGTGGTGGTCTATGGTGCTATGGCAGCAGAGTTCGTGTAGAGTGCAGTACATTGGGAATGGTGGGAGAGATTCGTTGGAGAGGGAGTGCATTCATGCCATGCGCGCGTCCCTCTCTACCCCAGGCCCCCCTCGCTGGCTCAGCTCGCTGATCTGGTGCCGTGGGCCATGCGCTTTCCCCGTTCCCCCCTCCCACCACAATTCAACCACTCCATTTTCGCTGTGCCCCACCCAGCTGCGTTCTCCCCCCACCCAGCCGCGTTTCCCCCCCACCCGGCTGCGTTTCCCCCCCACCCGGCTGCGTTCCCCCCCCCACCCGGCTGCGTTCCCCCCCCAGCCGGCTGCGTTCCCCCCCCACCCTGCTGCGTTCCCCCCCCACCTGGCTGCGTCCCCCCCCCACCTGGCTGCATTCCCCCCCCTCCCCACAGCTGCGTTCACCCCCCACCCCCACCCAGCTGCAACAGTACTATCAAGACATGCGTATTATGGCACCCTGCTGTATTTGTTTGATCTGAGAAAGCTTTGTTTGATTCGAGAAAGCTAACTTCTCGTTCACATTTTCCCCCCCTTTCTCATTTTACTGATATTTTAAAGCAGCACAGCTGCTTGTGCTCTAGAAACACCTTCAAATGAAACATCCAACTTAGGCACTAGTGAAACACAATCCGAACCACAAGCCACAACAGCACAAGCCCAACACCCGCCTTCAACCACACGGCCTCCCCCCAGCATCATCTCCCCTTGCCTCCCTTGCCCCCCTTTCCCTTGCGTCGCCCTGCCGGCCCCTTGGCCCCCGCCTTGCGCCCCTCTGTGCTGCCGCTGCTGCCAGCACTGGCGGCAGCACTGGTGGGTTCAGAGGCAGAGAAGGGGGTGGGCGCATGCGCATGGGGCTCTGGCGTTGCTGGTGCCTTGGGCTGCTGCTCTGTGTGCGCGTGGTCATGTGCATTCGTGTGGTCATGGGCATGTGCATGGTCATCAGTGTGGGTGTGTGCATGGCCATGGTCATGGTCATGGGAGTGGGAGTGGCCACTGCAACAACCATCAACTTTATGACTATGTGCATGTGCGTCCCCATGACTGTGCTTGTGTCCATGCGAATGCCCATGACTATGACCATGCCCATGAGAGTGACCATGCCCATGCGAGTGACCATGGGAATGACCATGCCCATGCGAATGACTATGCCCATGCCCATGCCCGTGCCCGTGCCCATGGTCATGCCCACAGCATCCCCGCTGCATGCCAGCAGCCAGCCCGCCCGCCCCAGCACCCATCGCAGCCGCCACAGCCGCCTCTTCCTCCTCCTCCACCGCATCGCCAGCCGACGGCAGCAGCAGCTTCAGCCTGAACGCATCTGAGCCGTTCAAATAGTACCGGTGTAGCAGCTTAGCGCGTATGAACCCTAGATTCCCGTACAGCGCCAGCGCGCCCTCATTGGTCACCTCCGCTTCAAGCACCACCTCCGCGCACCCTGCGTCGCGCATCGCCTCGATGCACCGCGACACGAGGCTCGTCGCGATGCGTCGCCCGCGGAACTCCTTGGCGACGACGAGCATCGCGATGTACCCGCGCGGCACGGCGCGCTCCGCCTCCATCTTGCACACCACCGCGCCCACGCACCGCCCCTCCGCCTCGCCCTCCGCCGCCTCAGCCCCGTCCTGGCTGGCGGAGCGCGGGGCGCGCGCGAGGAAGGTGAGGTGCGGCCAGTGGTGGAGGAAGTAGCGGTAGGTGAAGATGGAGTAGGGCTCCGACAGCTCGCACTGCACCAGCCGCATCACCGCCGCCAGATCCGCCTCCTCCGATCGGTACGCGTCGTACGAGATCGCGCCCTCGCCCGCGCCGCCCTTCGTCGCGTCGTCAACCCCGCCGCCCGCGTCGGCGCTTTCAGCGCAGTGCGGATCGGCGGCGGTGACAGCGGTAGCCATGATTTGATCTGACTCGACGACTGCCGCGTCGATTCTATTTGCGCAACGATTCAACGCGATCTTCGCTATAACTGCCGCATGTCAACCTAAATATGATACGAGCTGAGGGGAAGCGGGAAAACTCAATGGTACGACGCGATCTTCGCTACAACAGCTTGATTTGTCCGTCCTTATCTTGGTATCCCATTAGGGCGTGGAACATTTTTACGACCATGCCAAATGGTCACCCGTATGGTTGGATCTGGCGAATGCGAAGAGTGTAACAGATATGCGAAGGGTGCGGGATTTTTAAGCTAATTTGTTCGCCAGCACGTGGGGCACCCACTAAATACCACCCCCACTAAGAAAAAACTTCTGTTCCCAGTTTAAGCATTCGAAAGGGGTGTGGGACTTCGGGGTAAGCGGAGAGTTGTGTGTTTTGCAAGTAGAGTGGGGCTGGAAAACACTTTCGGGGGTAGACTCGAAGTTAAACGTTGTCCCACTTCTCTGGATAGTGTAGGTGTACGCGACAGCAATCCTACGGGAAATACCATTGACTTTCGGTCGAGTGAGGGTGAATACTGGGCATGTCAAACGGTGGGGTTTCCCTAAATGCCTCGCAATCGCCAGAAGCAACCACAAATTCGACCATTTGACGTATTCGTTGAAATGTTCCACGCCCTTACTTTTTCCGAGAGCCAGCTCCTTTTGTTGCGAACAATTATTAAACGTGCGAACTTCGTCAGGCCGTTGGTAACAGGCGAACACAACAAAGCCAGAACCAGCAACCGCCAATCAGCAGCTTTCCCGCTCGTGGTCTGACCTCGAGCCTCGCTCACTTTTCAACTGACAAGCAACATCGGGAACTGCTGCGCCCAGCTCATCCCAGCTGCCAGTCACCTCAGAATCTCCAAATAGTTCCTTGCAGCACAGTAATGGCTGCTCTTTCTTGGTGAGTGGATTGCTCTTGCAATGCATCGATGTCCATTCTAACTGTTAGACAGTTTTTTTTGCCAGTGCTAATAATACTCTTTCTCGCCATCTCTCTTAGACAATCTATCATCGAGCGCGAGCTTGTTAGCACAAATATCTCGCTTTCATAGAGCCCATAATAGCTGTCGCAGTCTATCTGGCAGGCATTAGATGCACGACGGAGCGCTTCCTGGTTGAGGGACTCGCCAGCTCGTCCACGCATGGTAGATGGAGGCGTCAGAGCGACGCCCCCTCGTGGCTCGCGCAGTCAGGTCCAGCGACCACACGAGCGCAGATTCATCGTCGCACCGCTCTTCGCAGCGCTCTTCGCACAGCCATCGCAGTCACGACCTCCATCCGTTGACGAGCATCGTCGTATTCTGCGGCTATGGCGTCGCACTCCTCCTCGCATTCAACGTCATGCGATTGGGGCCTGCGTTGCCCTCGTCGCATCCCGTCGCAGCGTGCGACGCCTCGCGTGGTGACACGTGCGACTGGGCGACCCACGCGACCCACCAGCTGCTGCACCGCCCGTGGAGCCCTCCCGTGGCGGCGCTGGCCGTGCTGGGGTTCGCGCTGCTCTTGCTCCGCGCGCTTTCTGGGCAGGCGGCGCGAGTGCGCGCTCTGGAGATGCGTTTGCGAGGGGCGAAGGGGGAACAGGCGGTTGAACAGGAGCGGGTGAGCAAGGGGGAAGAGGAGGAGAATATGGTGGAGAAGAAAGGGTGGATAGGAAAAGAGATTGACGGAGGGGAGGAGAGTGCGAGAGCGAGAGGTGCGGATGCAGGCACGGCGGTTGGCGCATTGGTCTCACGCGATGGGGACATGGCTACGCGAGCTGCTGTCGACCTGCTGGTCCACGGGATAGCCGCGCCCATGAGAGGTGCGCTGCGCTCCCCCTCCCGCTCCCCATCCCTGTCAGTTCCGCTTCTCGTGTGCTTACCCCCCTCGTTACACACTTTCAAGCTCATTCGCCCGCCTTGCGTGTGCGCGTGACCCTCCACGCGCCTCCGCGCTCCCCCCACAGGCGCGCTGGGCATGCTGCGCCTGCTGGCGGCGACCGTGCGCGACCCCATGCACCTCGACCTCATCCACTCGCTCCACGCCTTCGCCGCGCACCTCACCCGCCTCGCCGCCGCCGCCAGCACCACGTGGCGCGCGCAGGCCGGCCCGCTGCCCGTGGTGACGTCAGCGGTGGACGTGCGGGGGGTGGCGGACGAGGTGGTGGCGGCGGTGGGCGGGGAGGCGCGCGAGAAGGGGGTGGAGCTGGCGTGCCTGGTCATGGACGACGTGCCCCCGCTGCTGCTCTCCGACCCCCTCCTCCTCAAACAGGTCCCCGCTGCTCCCCCTCCCCTGCTCTCCACTCCCCGCTCCCTGCCTCCTGCTCCCCGCTCCCTGCCCCCTGCTCCCCGCTCCTTGCCCCCTGATCCTGCCCTGCCCATCCCCCCTGCTCCTCTCTCCTGCCATGCCCATTCCTGCAAAGACCATCACCGCTGCTTCTTTCCTGCCCCGTCTGTCCCTCCTTCACGGCCTTCCTGCCTCTCTCCCACCCTCCCTTTCTCCCCCTCAGCTGCTGCTGTGCGTGGCGGCGGCAGCAGTGCAGCGCACGGAGCAGGGCCACGTGCTGCTCTGCGTGCGCCTGCTGCACCCCCAAGAGGCCCTCCAGCGCCAGCAGCAGCAGCAGAAGAGGGGTGCGCATGAGAAGCACCAAGTGGTGGCAGCGATTGAGAATGCGGGCGTGCAACCGAGGCACGGCGAGGGCAACAGCCTGCTCCTGCCGCCCTCACGCATGCCCCTCCCACCGCCCACCCACCACCACCCCCTCTCCCCGCCCCCCACCACAGCATCCGCTTCTGCCTCCGCGGCCCCTTTCCCCTCCGTGTTCTCCGCGCCCTCCTCCCCTTCCTCCCTCTTCTCCAGCCCGGACCTCCTCGGGCTGGGTGGCATCGCTCGGCGTCTAGCAGCCTATGCTGCTCCGTGGAGCGAGCAGGGGGGGCAGGAACAGGCTGACAGCGGGGCGGGTGTGTTTGCATCGCTCTCCGCTGACCCGTGGCTGCAGCAGGGGGGAATGGCGCACAGCGATGCCTATGAGCACCGCCAGCAGCAGCGGCAGGCGCATCAACAGCAGAATCGCCAGCAAAGGCAGGAGCAGCAGCGCTTCCAGCAGCAGCAACAGCAGAATGAGCAGGAACAGGTGCAGAGGGACGGGGGAAAGGACAGTTTGAGTGGGAGGCGGGTGGTGGACGGGCGGTGCAGCTGGGGCGCGTTGAGGCGGCTGCTGGACGACCAGGAGAGCCGATTCGCTGCTGCCGTCGCACACGCTGTTGCTACTGGTAACGCTGGTGCCGCTACTGCTGCGGCTGCTGGTGGTGGCAGCAGCAGTGGGATGGGGCAGTTGTGGGTGGAGGTGGTGGTGGAGGACACGGGCACGGGCGTGCCGCAACCCGTGGTGGACGCACTCAACGCCATGGATGGCGCTAACGCTGCTGCCTGCGCCTGTGCTGCTCTACCAGAGGCGTTGCTGCCTCTCCATGCCACCACGCCCCTGCTGCTCGCCCACACACACCTGTGAGTTCCAGGCTTGAAGTTGGCCGGTTGGGTAGCGGGCACTTGTCCTTCCGTCGCCCCTGCCTCTTGCGCCCCTGCCCTGCCTTCGCCTCACCCCCACCCACCTGTCCCCACGTTCCCCGTCCCCATCCATGCCTCCTTGTCCCCCCTGGCAGCCTGGCGACCTCTCTGGGCGGGTCCCTCTCGCTCACCACAGCACCCGCCATCGGCACCACCGTCGCACTCACCATCCCCATGGCCCTCCCCCCCCTCGCCCCCACGCCCTCCTCCTCCCCCGCCCTTCTCCCCTCCGCCCCAATACCTCCCCCTCCCCATGCGCCTCTTCCCCCTGCCTTCCGCCCTGCCTCTGCGCCCTCCTTCCCCCGTGCGGGGGGGAGCAGCGGCAGCGAGGGGGGGTTGGCGGCGCTGGTGGGGTTGTGGGAGAGCGTGGGGGCGGACGGCGGGCTGTGGGAGGCCATGGGGCTGGGGGGGGGCGCGGGGCAGGGCGGGGGGGGAAGGGATTCCGGTGCTACTGCAGCAGGGGAAGGTGCAGAGGAAGGGGGTGCAAGGGGGGGCGCACGTGAGGGGAATGGGGGGGGAGCTGGTGGTGAGGGCGGGGGCAGGGGGGCGTGGATGGGGGAGGTGGGGGTGAGGGAGGTGGGGGCGGCGGAGAGGAGGGCGGTGAGGGAGGTGGGGGCGGTGGGGGGGGGTGGGGGGCGAGCAGTGGGAGGTGGTGGCGCCACTGGTGGAGCAGGTGCAGGGCGTGCGGTGCCTTGTGGTGGACAGCAACCCCATCCGACAGCAGGCAAGGCCGCCCTCCTTGCTGCTCCCATACCCCCCTCTGCTGCCTGCTGCGTGGTGCCACTGATGCTCCTGCTCACTCACCACATCTTACCCACTCTCTTCCGCCTCCTTCCCCCCAATCCCTGCTCTCCCTCCGTCCCTCGCCCCCTGTCAGGTGGCAGCGTCACTGCTATCGCGCCTGGGCATGGACGTGGATCTCGCAGACAGTGTGGCGGACGCTGTTGCTGCCTTGCAGTGCGCCCCTCCCGCCCTGCACCCCGGTCAGCTGCCTCCCCCGCTCCTCTCACCTGCCCCACTTCTCTCCTGTCCCTTCCCACCGTCGCTCTCTAGGCGCTCAGCATGCTGAGGACTGGCACTTGCCCCTTCTTTCCGACTCCCGTGCTCTTTCCTTCCACTCTCATTCTCAGAGCACCCTTCTGTCTCTTCCATGCATGCCTCCTCCCCTCCGTGTACTCAGCAGCAGCGGCATGGCAGGAAGGGGTGGGGAGCGGTGGGAGCCGGTGGGACGTGGTGCTGGTGGATGCAGACTGCGATGGCACCCCGGGCTCTGGCCTCCTCCTTGGCTCCCATGTGGCCCGCATCAACGCCGCCCATGCCGCCGCCCATGCCGCCCATAATGCCTACTCCCACACTGCCGACCACGTTGCACATGCTCCCGGCAGCGACTCTGCTGTTGCCCCCGCTGCTCCTGCTACGGTCTTTTCTGCAGGGGACATGGACAGTGGGCAGGCAGCAGGGGCAGCAGCAGCGGCGGCAGGGGCAGGGCCAGAGACGGTGGGCAGAGGAGGGTTCACGCCATTGGCAGAGGATGGCGTGGGTGGGGAGGACGAGGGGAATAGTGGGGCGAAAGAGGGGTGTGGTGGGGGGCCGGACATGGGCGCAGGGCAGGCAGAGCAGAGGGCATGGGGTGAGTGCAGAGAGGGCGAGCGTGGGGAGGGGGTGGTGGAAGGGCGAGTGGGGAGGAAGGAGCTGGGTGAGGGGGAGCTGTCACAGGAGCACGCACAGGCACAACAGCAGCAGCAGCAGCAGCAGCAGCAGCAGCAGCGGGCAGAGGGAGAGGGAGAGGGAGAGCAGCAGCGGTGGGCGGAGAGGGGCGAGTCGCTAGTGTTTCCTGGCATCTCATCCAAGCTCGTGCTGGTGGCGCAGGTCAGTGGGGCAGAGAAGCATGAAGGGTGAGGCACTCACATGGGGCAGAGAGGCACACGCAGGGACCCAGAGGCATGAAGGGTGAGGCACAGGGGTGGCGGTGGTGGGAGCAGTGCAGTGCCGTGCCGTGCCGTGCCGTGCCGTGCCGTGCCGTGCCGTGCCGTGCCATGACATTACTCGCTCGTGCGCACATTCATGCATCATTGTGCTGTGCGTGCATGTGCATGGGTATGTGTGTGTGTGTGCGCGCGCGCGCACGTGCGTGTGCATGTGTGTGCATGTGTGTGCATGTGTGTGCATGTGTGTGCATGTGTGTGCATGTGTGTGAGCCGCGTGCAGGCAACGAGTGAGGACATGGCGTTGGCAGCAGCATCGCATGGATTTTCCTGCATTGCTCTCAAGCCCCTCCGCACGCCAGTGCTCGCTACAGCCATGCTGCAGGTGTGTGCTGTGTGATTCGCTTGGGTATGTCTGTGTTGCTACATCATTCCTTTCTTTTGAACGCTGCTTGCCTTCCCTTCCTTGCCTGTCCACTCCTCCACTCCTCGCCTCCTGCCCATCCCCACCTCCCCCATCCTGCCCCCCCGGCAGGCCCTGGGCGTGAGTGCAAGGGAGGTGCAGCAGGCAGCAGCGCAGCAGCAGCAGCTGCACCTCAGACGACTGCTGCGAGGCAAAGTGGTTTTGGTGGGTGCTGAGTGGTGCTGGTGTGTGGGTGGTTAGCGGACAGGAATGAGTGTTGAACATGGGGCTGCAGGGCAAATCGTTCCCGTGGCCCACAAACAGGGCAGCACACACAACACTTCCATGTGCCAAAATTCTCTAGTAAGCCCAGCTTTCTGCCCACCATTCCCTCCCCTTCTCCCCCACCCCCTCATGGCAGGTGGTGGACGCCTGCTTCACCACGCGCAAGGCAGCAGCAGTGGCCGTCTCCCAGTTCGCCGATGCAGCCTGTGCCGTGGCCTCACCAGCAGAGGCCCTCGCACGCCTCTCCCCGCCCCACCACTTCCACCTCGTGCTGCTCTCCCTCTCCTTCCCTCACCTCCCCCCGTACGTTCCATGACCCCCCTGCACCTCCCTGCTTTTCTGTGCCTTACTTGCCGTTCTGTTCCGTCCTACTTGTGTAGTGCAGAATTTTCAGCAGCTGGCACACAGTTGCATGCATTCTTTTGTTTGGTAAGATGCTGTTCGCTTATGTGCTTTTATTCCATGTTTGTGTGCCATGGGACTGATGGTCCTGGCAACACCAGAGCACTCTTTGTCCAGCGCCTGCGCGAGATGGAAGCTGCTGCAGCTGGTGAGGCAGTAGCGGGAAGTGGGGAATACAGGGGAGCTTCAAGAGAGGATGCGGAGATGACTAGAAGTGCCAGTGGCGGCAGTGCTGCAGTGGGTGGTGGTGGTGCAGAGGAGGCATGCGGCAGCAGTGCTTGTCAGATTCCAGTGCCCGTGCTGGGAATGGTTACAGATTTCCTCTCCAACGACATGCCACCACGGTATGCAGCATTCTTTCCTTTACACTCTTTTCAGCCTTTTGCACTGCCTTGTTCTGGTCTGTATTACCCGCATAGCAGAACTTATTCTGACACTATTGCCTTCAAAAGATTTGTGCCTTCCCCCATTTGAATCACCAGGTTGAGCGATTGCCGTGTAGACGGTCTCCTGGCGACACCCATTTGTGAATCTCAGTTGCTCTCAACTCTTAGAACGCTTGTTGCATGTGGAAAATTTATATGAACATATCATGAATTCAAGTAACGTTTGCTGAACCAGGCCGCAAAGCGGGGCAGGGGGAGAACACCATCCCTCTTTCCGGGGGTGTGGCTAATGTGAGCGACTGACTCGAATCTCCACGGACGAAGGGCTTACCCACACCAGCTCAGCAGCGGGAAGCCCAATGAATCATCAGAGTGGTCAAACGGGTGTATCTGGGCGAATTTCGAGCCTAGATGTTGCTTTTCTGCATCTCCAGCCAATCACAGCTCACGGCACGTCCTCGCACGGGTGTTGACGATAAGTCGCTTGTGGAAGCGACCGACCCTAGCCTTTGCCAACGGTCCTAGACTCTCGTGTGGGAAGGCCAATTAGTTTCGCAAGACGTCGCACTGAATCTCGCCGTCGCCATTCCTTCCCCAACAGCCAACCTCAACACTACATCACGTTGTGCTCTTTAGCAGCTAACACATTACAACATTAGTAGGAGGCTCTATAGGCACCTATCCGGGGGGATGCGAAAATGGCGTTAGTCGCATCGAGCGTACGTGCCGCCGCCATTGACGCGTGCATATCGTCTTCCAACGCTTTAATTCACGCGTCGCCGTCGTACGGACCAGTCGTCTCCCTCTCCGCGTCCTTGATTCGCTTAGCGTCGTCACGTCTCTCACCAAGCAGCAAGTCCTCTCCCTTCCGTTCCCCGCACGCTTCCGCCGCGTCGTCATTCTCCTCCTCCTTCTCCGGTAGGAAGCTCGTCGCGCCATGCATACCACGGCCGGCGGTAGGCAGCGATCGACGGCGGTTGGCAGTGGTGTCGGCGGTTGGGAGCGCGGAGAGCGGAGGCGCGGATGCGTTGGGGATGGCGAGCGAGGCGTACGGGCAGATGGCCGAGGCGCTGCTTAATGGGTGAGCGGCGCATACGACTGATAGGTTGCTCGCGAGCCCTAGTGTGCGACTAGACTGTGCGACTGAAGCGTGCGGCGTGGATGATCGTTTAGAAACGAGTTATAGTGGGTGCTAAAAGGGAGCTGGGATCATAGGAAAGATAGCAGGATTAAGCGGAAGCGTCGCAGAGCGCTAAGCGTGTTGCGAGGCGTACGGATAAGGCGAGTGTGAGCGGGCCTTGTCGCATGGAGGCAACCGAAGAGCGATAACGGGGGAAGGCGAGCAGGCTCAGATGCTCTGGTAGATTGACTTGGTCTTTCATCTCCGTGGCGCCATGGCAGGCTACCCCCCGAGGTGGAGCAGGCGGTGGTGGCGGTGCACCGCGAGATCGCGCAACTCGCGGCGGACGCGGGCCTCTCCATTCCGCTCGACGACCCGGTCAGTCGCGCCCGCCGCTCCGCCCACCCGCCATGCCGCCGCGCACCCGACTCGTGCCTGCCTTCTCCGGCTCCACCGCTTCTGCCGTTCCTTCTTTTCCCCGTTGGCTCCGCGCATCCATTCCTCGCATTCCTCCCCCTGCCGTCTCCTCCCCCTGTTTCCTCCCCACTGTCCCCTCCTTCCCCTCCCGGCCAATCCCTGGCCTTCTTGTTCCTTTCCGTCGCGACCCATCCTATCTCCGTTCCTTCCCGCTCCCCCTTCCCTCCGCCTCTCCCCGCGCGTCACCCGAGCAGGCGTCGCTGCGGCAGTGGACGGTGGCGCTGGTGCTGCTCGTGCTGTACGCCGCCGCGCCCCCCGCGCCGCTCATGGGGCTGCTCGACTTCCTCGTCGCGCCCCTGCACGCGCGCACCGACAAGTAATGCGCCCACCTCGCGCCCGCACTCCCGTCCGCACTCTCGTCCGCACTCCCGTCCGCACTCCTGCTCGCACTCCGTTCTGCTGCCATCAGATCGCGTTGCTGCCCGTGTTCCGCCAGAGTGCCTGCTTGGTCTGTGTGCGCCGGCCCTGTTGCTGCCCGTAACCTTCACCCTTTCTCCGCTTCGGCCCCTCTATCCCGCTCCCCCTTCTATCCCCCTGTCCCTGCGCCCTGCCCCGTGCTCCTCGCGGCAGGGAGCTGGACCCGGCGCGGGTGAAGGTGGGGCGGCAGATAGGCGAGGGCAGCTTCGGCGTGGTGTACGAGGGTTTCATCTCCAACGGTACGTGGTGTACGAGGGTTTCATCTCCAACGGTACGCTCGCCGCTTTTGTCTTTCTTCATCTCCCTCACTCTATATCCCTCTCTCCTTGTGGGCATGTGAGTCTCTGTCTCCCCTCTCGCACGTCAAGCCATGCCCATGTCCACCCCCTCACCGCCGTCCCCGTCCCGCTCTCCTGTGCTCCGCTGCGCCGTGTGTGTGTGCATGTGCGCGCAGGCAAGGCGGGCAAGGAGGGGCGGTGGGAGCGGCGGGTGGTGCTGAAGCGAGTGAAGACGCGGGTGAAACATTCCGATGAGATGAGGGACGTCGAACTCTACATGAACCACCGCCTGCAGGTACATGAACCACCGCCTGCAGGTACATGAACCACCGCCTGCAGGTACATGAACCACCGCCTGCAGGTACATGAACCACCGCCTGCAGGTACATGAACCACCGCCTGCAGGTACATGAACCACCGCCTGCAGGTACATGAACCACCGCCTGCAGGTACATGAACCACCGCCTGCAGGTACATGAACCACCGCCTGCAGGTACATGAACCACCGCCTGCAGGTACATGAACCACCGCCTGCAGGTGCGCACAAGCATCCCCTTTTGTGTGTCGCTTTTGAGATTTCCCAAAAGTAGCTCCCGGTGCTTGGTGTTTCGTCCCCCCCCCCCCCCACGCTCATCCTACCCGTGACCCACTTTTCGATCCCTCCCTCCCGTTCCTTCCCCTCCCCCCTACAGCGCACGGCGCCGGGCGTGTGTGCGCGGTTCATAGGCACCATGCAGGTGGCGCCGGAGCAGGCCAGCGGCAAGCTCGAGGAGGTGAGCGCAGCGCTGGGGCTGGGGTGGAGGCGGGCTGGGGGCGGGCTGGGGCTGCCGTGGGGCTGGGTTGGGGCTCGGGGCGGGCCCAGGGAGGTATTGAGACGTGTGCATGCGGGAGTGGTGATGTGCGGGGTGGCAGCACGTGGGAGGCGGCACGTGAGTGTGTTGGGTTGGGAGCAGTTTTCACCTCAATGCCCCAACTGCCCATGCCTCGCACCCTGCCCTCCCCACACACGCCCCCTCACCATCCCTCCCACCCCAACTCCCACTCCTTCCTCTACCTCGCCCCGCGCATTTGCAACTGCAGTGTGTACTGGTAGTTCGCTGTACTAGTATACTCACCCCCCCTGCCATTCACCCTACCCCTTCCCCGCCCTGCTACCATCGCTGCTCTCCCTCCGGGTGCCCCAACAGGGCGTGTGGCTGGTGTGGGAGTACCAGGGCGATCGCACGCTGGACCAGTTCCTGCGCCACCGCTCCTACCCGCTCAACCTCGCCAAACACGTGCTCGGGGTGGACGACGCCGTGAGTCGCCCGCTGGGATTGCGTGGGGGCGATGTGACGCGTGGGGGAGTATGGGCAAGGGGGGGATGGAGAGGTGCATGAGGGCAGCAAGGCAGGGGTGGGGTGGAGGGATGCATTTGGCGGGGGTGGCAATGTGTGCTGCCTGCCTGGCTAGGTCCACCCTGTGTCCTTCTTGCACATGTGCTGCTCCCTTCACGCTGGCCTCCCTGCTTCCCTGTCTGCCTACGTGCGTGCACCTGTGTGAGAGCAGTTGTTGCGGGGCAGCAAGGGCAGCAGCTCGGAGGAGAGGGAGCAGCAGGTGTGGATGGAGTGGGAGGTGGCGCAGGAGGTGATGAGGCAGATTCTCTCCGACCTCAAGCACCTGCACTCCTGTGGTCAGTCACTCACACCACCGCCTGCCACACTGCCATTCACCGTCTCACCTGCCCCACACCATTCGCTCTCACCACCACCGTTCCTGAGGGCACCATTGCTGTCAGAGCCACCACCGTGCCACATCTCATGGTCCCTCTCTCCCCTCCCCGCCCCTCGCCACTCTCCCTTCTTACCAGGAGTGGTGCACAGGGACGTGAAGCCGTCGAATCTGATACTGGACGAGCTCGCGGGCAGTCTGTGCCTCATCGACCTGGGCGCCTGTGTCGACCTGCGCTCCGGCCACAACTACGTGCGTCCACCCCCACCCGGCCCCCGCCCCTGCCTTGCTATGCCTTTACTTGCACGGCGCCCCAAGCCATGCCATGGCATGCGTGCCCACTGCCCTCCACCATGTGATGCACTCAATCCCCATCCCCTTGTGGCGTCTCTCTTGCCTCATGATGTGCCACCACCCCCCTCACCCCCCCTCTTCCCCCTTCCCCCCATTCCCCCCCTCACCCCGCACCCCCTCCCCCCCCCACAACAGGTACCCAACGAGACGGTGATGGATCCCAAGTACTGTGCACCGGAGCGCTTCGTCATGCCGCCCGGCACTACGCCGCCCCTGCCGCCCGACCCGCTGGCGTCGCTGCTGTCGCCCTTCCTGTGGGCGCTCAACACACCCGACCGCTTTGACGTCTACTCCGCGGTGAGCGCCCCCTCTCACTCACCCTCTCACTCGCCGTGCATTGCTCCCTCACTCCCTCAACGCTCCATCACTCTCTCCCCATTGCCGCCTTTCCCGCCTGTCCTCCCCTTCCCCGCCTGTCCTCCCCTTCCCCGCCTGTCCTCCCCTTCCCCGCCTGTCCTCCCCTTCCCCGCCTGTCCTCCCCTTCCCCGCCTGTCCTCCCCTTCCCCGCCTGTCCTCCCCTTCCCCGCCTGTCCTCCCCTTCCCCGCCTGTCCTCCCCTTCCCCGCCTGTCCTCCCCTTCCCCGCCTGTCCTCCCCTTCCCCGCCTGTCCTCCCCTTCCCCGCCTGTCCTCCCCTTCCCCGCCTGTCCTCCCCTTCCCCGCCTGTCCTCCCCTTCCCCGCCTGTCCTCCCCTTCCCCGCCTGTCCTCCCCTTCCCCGCCTGTCCTCCCCTTCCCCGCCTGTCCTCCCCTTCCCCGCCTGTCCTCCCCTTCCCCGCCTGTCCTCCCCTTCCCCGCCTGTCCTCCCCTTCCCCGCCTGTCCTCCCCTTCCCCGCCTGTCCTCCCCTTCCCCGCCTGTCCTCCCCTTCCCCGCCTGTCCTCCCCTTCCCCACCCGTCCTCCCCTTCCCCACCCATCTCGGCCTATTGATCTCCTCACGCTTCTCTCCCGTCCCTTCCCCCTTATGCCCCCTTTCCCCCGTGCTGTCCCGCGCAGGGCATAGTGCTGATGCAGCTGTGCATGAAGCGACTGCGCAATGCGTCTGCTCTGGTGCGTCCCTTGTGCCTCGCATGCGTCCCCCTCGCATGCCTGGGCGCCAAACGCTCATGCTGCACGGCCCACTGCCTGTTCCTGCTACCTCTTTTGCGTGCCTCTCTGCCCGCCTCGCCGTGCACTCGTCATCTCTTATTACCCGAACCCCATCACCTCGCCCTCTCACGTTGCTCTGCCGTTCTGCTGCCTCTGCCCCTGCTCGCCTCCTCTCTCCCTGGGAGCACAGAAGGAGTTCAACGAGGAGTTGAGGCGGTGCGACCACGACCTGGCCAAGTGGAGGGCCACTTTCAACCCCAGCGATGACGACATGGCCGTGCTCGATGCCAATGGTGCGCCCCCCATGCCTCCCATGCCTCCCGTGCCCCCTTGCTGCCGCTGCATGCCACCATGAATGCCGCTCACCCCATGACTGGGAGGATAGACGGGAGCTGATACCATTACACAGACGCCTCGCATGCTCCTGTCTGCCCGTGCACCGCATGCTCCTGTCTGCCCGTGCACCGCATGCTCCTGTCTGCCCGTGCACCGCATGCTCCTGTCTGCCCGTGCACCGCATGCCCCGCTTCCCCTCTCCTCTCACGGCCTGCCTTCCCTCCCCTTGCCCTCCCGTGTCTTGCCCCTCCTGCCTCCTCTTCTCCACCATCTCTTCCCCCTCGCCCCTACCCCCTGGCATGACAGGCGGAGCGGCATGGCAGTTGGCGCAGCAGCTGCTGAGGAAGCGACCCAACCACGAGGAAGCCGTGTGGCCCAGCGGTGGGTGCTGGGTGCTGGGGGGCCTAGCCCATGCATGCACGCACTCATGCGCGTGCACACCTTCCTTCTCACTGTCCCCTGGGCTATTGTCCATCACTCCACATGCAACTTCCACCTTGCATTTCCGTTCATCCTCGTTTGCGTGCGACCATCCCTCTTTTCTCTCTCTCCCCCCACTCTCACCCCCCACATCATCCCCCCTCCCTTCCTCTCTTCCCCCATTTCCCCTTACCCTCCTCACAGCCATGGGCGGGCGGCCCTCCGCAGCCCAGGCGCTGCGCCACGCGTTCTTCTCCATGCGCGCGCCAGAGCCCTTCCGCGCGTCACGCCTGGCGGCGGCCACACAGGCAGCGCTGTCAGGCACGGCGTACGCCACGCTGGGACGCGGAGGGGGCGCCATGGCGCAGGCCAAGGCGCGCGCTGCCCAGGAGAAGGCGCGGGTGGCGGGGCGGGTGGAGGGGCGCAAGGGCAGGGCGGGGGAGGAGAAGGGGGAGAAGGGCAAGGCGCGGAAAGAGGCTGGGGAGAAGGGGGGGAGTGCTGGGAAAAGGGGAGGGGAGGGGATGGGCGTTGAAGGGCTAGTGATGGCGTGGGGGGGCAGAGGGAGGGGGGAGAGAGAGGATTTAGGGAGTGAGGGGAAGAGGGTTGGTGGGAAGAAGCAAGCGGGGAAGGAGGCGGAGGGGTCAGGGGAGGGGAGGGTGGAGGAGGGGGTGGTGTTTGCGCTGCAGCAGATGTGGGCGGCTAGCAATGGGGGAGGGGGGAGTGGCAGTGAGAGCAGGGGGAAGGGGCGCGAGGAGGGTGTGGGGTCGGATGGGAGTGGGAAGGGGGAGAGGCGGGCGCGGAAGGCAGGGAAGGGGGAGGAGGGGGTGAAGGGGGCAAGGCAAGGGGCGGCAGCAGGCAAGGGAGAGGCGCAGGGGCAGGCGGGCGCACTGGGGGCATTGGGCGCGCTGGGCGCAGGGGGGGGAGGGCAGGGGGCGGAGGTGGTGCTGGAGGCGCTGAGGCGGGTGCTGGGGGAGGGGGTGGGGGCGGAGGGGGGGAAGGGGGAGCAGGGCGCAGTGGAGGGGCCGGCAGTGCGGTGGGGGGAGGGGGGCGTGCAGGGCATGGTGAGCGAGGGGCGGCGGGTAGTGAGGGAGGCGTTTACTGGCGCTGTGGTGGCGCATGCTGAGGCGTACAGTGGGGGGGCGGAGGGCAGGGCGGGGGGGAAGGACTCTGGTTCGGGCAAGGACAAAGGGTCTGGTAAAGAGGGTGGGTCAGGCAGGGAGAATGGATCGGGCAAGGATGGGAGTGCGGGGAGCAGGGAGAAGGTAGCATCGGGTAAGAGCAAAGGGGGGTCAGGGAAGGGGGATGGAGGCGAGGGGGGTGGGAGCAAGGGCAGTGGGAGGGGGGAGGCGAAGGAGGCAGGTGGGAAGGCGAGGAGGAAGAAGGAGGAGGGCAAGGGGGCGCGCAAGAGAGAGCTGGTGACCGCAGCAATGGGCAGCAGCGGCGGCAGCAGTGGCAGTGGTGGCAGTGGTGGCAGTGCAGTGGAGCTACCATTCGACCTGCAGCGCTCCAAGGTGGCGGCGGCCTATGTGCTGGGGTCCGCTGCTGCCTCCCTCGCCCGCCTCTTTGTGCCCCTCCAACCCTCCCCCGCCACCACCGCTGCCAGCGCCCGCCCTGCACCACCGCCTGCTGCTGTAACCCCAGCATCAGCCCCAGCATCAGTGCCAGCAGCAGTGCCAGCAGCGCTAGCAGCAGCGGCAGCGTCTAGTAAGAGAGCAGCAGCAGCAGCATCAGTTGCTGCTTCGAATAAGAGAGCAGCAGCTGCGGCAGCAGATGCAGCAGTGCCGGCAGCTGCTGCAGCAGTGGCAGAAAGGGGTGCGGCGCAGCAGCAGCGGGGGCAGGTGGGGGGGCAGGCAGGCGAGCAGAAGAGTGCAGGCGAAGCACGGCAGGTGAAGGGGATGGGGGAAGGCGAAACGGGTGGGGGGGGAGGCGCACTGGCGCAGGCACTGCTGCAGTGGGTGAGGGGAAGGGCAGGCGGAGGAAGTGATGCAGGCGGGGGGAGCAAGGGAGCAGCAGCACAGGGCGATGGGGGGCGGGGAAGTGTCAAGCCCAGGGGTGGTCGAGGAGAGGAGGGCAGTCTGAGGAGAGCAGGGAAGCGAGGGAATGGGGGGGAGAGTGGGGGTGGTGGGATCTCGGGAGTGCGAGTGAGGTGGGGGCTGCTGGGGCTGGCAGCCAAGGGCGTGGAGAGAGGCATGGAGCGCGCCAGAGGGGCAGGCAGGGCGGGCGTGGGAGGCGTGGGGGTGAATGGCAGGATGGGCGGGGTGAGACTCAAGCCCAGTGCCACTGCTGACGTGGCAGACCCTGTGACGGACAACGGCATCATCACTGACATCACTCTGGATCCCCAGGCCATTGCCGACGTCAGCCTGCTGCTGGCGCTGTGCAGTCAGGGTGACGAGGAGGAGAGCGAGAGTGGGGGAGAGAGTGGAAGCGAGGAGGGGAGTGAGAGGAGATCTGCCGGAGTAGGGAGGCAGATGCTTTACAACAGCAGCAGCAGCAGCAGCAGTGAGGCTGGAGTAGAGCCAGCTGCCTCTGCCCCATCAGACGCCTCTTCGATGCAAGTGGGCCTCACGTCTGCACGCGCCCTGCCTTCCTCCTCGTCCACTCTCGACCCCGACGCGCACCCACTGGTGGCAGCGCTGCTGGCAGATGGCGGTGTGGGCGGTGGCGAGGGGGCGGTGGGTGTGCAGCAGGCGGAGGTGCGGGTGGGGGAAGATGGGAGTGTGCGAGTGAGTGTGTGCGTGGGAGGCGTGGAGAGCACTGTGCTGCTGCAAGCCGACAGCACTGGGGCGCTCGTCATGGCCGTGGGGGAAGGAGCCACCGCGGGCCAGGCACCCTCAGCAGCTGCAGCTGCAGTGGCGGCAGAGGGCGCAGAGGCGAGTGCAGTGGCAGCAGGTGGCGTGGGAGGGTCCTCACTGTCTCCTACCGCGCCACAGCCCCTTGCCATCCCAGCCTCCACTAACACTGCCCCTGGACAAGTTGTGCTGCCGCTGTGGGGGTGGCTGGGAGGGCGTGAGCCAGCCAGGGAGGCATTGGCAGAGGCAGCGGCTCAGCTGGCTGCAATCAGAAGCAAGCTGCCCTCCGCCTCCACACCTGCAACCCCCACCTCCCCCCCTGCACCCCCCTCCACCTCTATGCCCGCTGCTTCCCCACCTGCACCCTCTGCTTCAGCACCTGCTCTGTTACCCACAGAGAATGCAGCCTTGGTTGTTGGTGGTAGTGGGGAGGAGGAGGCGAGTGGGGAGGAAGAGAGGCAGAAGCATCTGTTGTCTGCTGTTGATGTGCCGGCTGTGGCTGAGCCATCAGTCTCAGACGAGAAGGCAAGACAGATAGGAGTGGAGTGGAGAGAAACAGCGGAGGGAACACTGGTGGTGAGACTGGGTGCAGGAGAGGGAGCGGGCTTGGAGAGCACAACCGTGCTCACAGTGGATGCCACGGTGGGGGAGAATCTGGGCCACCAAGGGGGCAGCAACAGTAACAGCAGCAGCAGCAGCAGCAGCGATGGTGGTGTGCTGCAAGGGCTGCAGGAGCAGTTGTCAGTGGGCCTGTCTCCCTTTGCCAGCGCCATTCGCGCCCTCACAGGGGTGTCACTGTGGGGCGGGGGCCAGAGGGTGCAGGGCGGCATGACAGAGGCGCAGGTGAGGGAGCAGCTGGAGGAGCTGCGGCGGAAGAGGGAGGCGCGGCGGGCGGGGGCAGAGGGGCTCAACGCTGCTCTGGCGGGGCTCAACAGCCAGATGTTGGACCTGCAGGCCACACTGCAGGAGAACAAGCAAGCCGTCACCGAGCAGAAGAAGATTCTCACTCGGGTAAGATTGTTGGTTGTAAATGGCTTGCCATTTCTTGGTGCCGTTGTTATGCCTGCAGTTGAAATGAGTGCTTAAATTCCACTCTTTCTGTTATGGTTGCAGATGGAAGTGCTATTGCTGGAGGCTGAAGTTATGCAGGCGGAGTACTAGCCATCTGCGAAGAAGTGCTTAAGGCCTTGTAAATTCGGTGTCTGGTTTGTTGTTATGTGCACCAGCTGTCATCAAAAGTGTATTTTATTAAGGTATTTAATTGAATTCATGCTGTCGCAATCTTGCCTGACTGAGAAATGCCCCCATTGGCCTGGCGTGTTGGTCTGTCAGAACTCGCCATCCAAATTCGCCAGCCGCCTCGACTGCACTGGCGCCATCCCGCTTCGCGTGGGTCCCAGGGCGTCGCGCTTCGCCCGAAAGTTGAAACGGCAGGCCCTCCATCGGCCGTTGAGGGGGACAAGTCGAAGTTGACGGCCAGCGGTGCTGAGATGTCGGCCCGCCATCACCTTCACCACTCACTGCTCGCTGCTCCATGCTCTATGCTCCCCCAACTGCCTCCGCAGCAGGCCGTCATCCCTCCCACTTGTTGTTTCTCTGTGCTTGAGTTTCTTGAGATTACCTCGCTTGTTCCCTCGCGGCAGATAGAGATCTTGCTTCCTCCTGTTAGCTCTTGCTCAACGCTAGCAATTCGTGCCTTTGGGACTCGCTGACATCGACAACATGGCTATCTTGGCAGTTCAAGCCTCCACTCCACACTGTCTCGTTGACAGGAAAAGCTCCTACTTAGTTTCGCAGGCTATAAGTCCCGTCGAGGATTGCGATATTCTCTCGCCCATAATTGACAGGTAAGCCCATTAATCATATCCTAATCAAGCTCTCCTCATCCTGGAAAATTCGTCTGAGACAGTATTGTTTCCCTGGTCGCAGCATATCGTGCATCCACGAGAACAAGGAGAACTTGGAGCTCGGCAGTTTCGAGGAACGACTGGTGAACGCCTTTTGCAGCGGAACCCTCGACGCCGAGGTGCCGCGAGCCATCGACGACATCATCGCCCTCGCGCAGCGCCTCAGCCTCTCGCACGGCGACACCCACGCTCGCGAAACGAGCCACGCGAGCGACGCTGATTCGCCAGTCTCTGTCGTTCGGCGATCACCCCTGAACGACATCTCGTCGCTCCACAGTGACGACGACGATCAGGTAAGCCTTGGAAACCGCTCTTTGCGAAGGAAAGACGCCATTTTAACACGTGAATAACTAATTAAACGATTTCCCCTTTCGTCACTTGCAGGTTCAGCCAGCTCGCAAGACGAGCTCTGAGAAAGGCCAACATAAAAAGAAGCAAGAGTCGAGAGCGTCGTCCTCGTCTGTGGCTACCCCTCTCGGCACGCAGAGGCGGCGAGGCAGCTCAGCCCCGTCGCGCGCTGCTGAGCGAGCCCCCCACGCGGCCGAGCGACGCACAAGAAGCTGCGCTGCTCCGGCCTCTGCATTCCGCTGACCGCAACTCCATGGGCTTCCATGGTTCCCTCCGGCATGGCAGTAACTGGCAGTTCCTCTCCCCGGAACTGAGGACATTTGAGTACATTGAGGATAAGTAGAACGTAGTAGCTTCAGCGGAAATAGGCAGCTAACTTGTTCATACCGTAATCTGCAGACTTCAGTAGACAGCGTTGACACTCGTCCATGTAGAAGTTCAAGCGGCTTCATTTGATTTATACAGCGACAAACATACTGTGGCTGCTATACTTTACAGATGAAATTCCAAAAGAGCCGGCCTACATGCACATGAATGACATCTCAATGGCCAGAGAGCAGCATCAAGGATGCATGTGCTGCAACTGCTGCAGTGTGAGGAGACGCCCCTGAGGGAGGAAGGGATGGGCGTCCACAGGCATGGTGCCTCGCCCCAGATATGCCATTATCATGTCAGCTGTGCCTGGGGCCTGCACCATGCACAGGGTTATTCGACATGTTGAGCAGGTAGGGAGGTGAGGCGGGGGGTCAAAACACCTGGGATACGAGCAAGCAAGCAAAGAGCACCTCCCTGGCAGAATCACGGTGACATGGTGGTGTGGTGTGTCAAGTCAAGCAGCGCTCACCATCAACAGGCCCGAGCCCTCATGGCCCAATGCAAAGAGAACACCTGGAAGCGAGTCCACGGGGCCAATCAGAGGCCTCCCATCCGGTGCTGCAGACAGACAGGTGGATGGGATAGTGAGGTGGCTGCGTGCAATCAAGGATGCACAGGACAATGAAGGACTGTGAAACGAGCTTGCAAGCAGTGAGCAGGACTCACCATATGGGCGCAGCCCCGTGCGAACAACATTCACCCGAGCAGCTATTGCCTCGTCCTCCGCTTGCTGCAGCAGATGTGCAAGGGAGGGCAGGAAGACGGCCGTGCGGCGCAGAATGGCAGCGATGGTGGGCGCATGGGGCTCCACACTGAAGCCCGCCAGCTCCCTGCTGCTGCCTGGTGGGGGTAGTGTGCATGGAGGGCAGCAGCCATGGAACAAGTATGAGGCGAAATGCAGAAGAGAGGTTGCTGGCATGTGTAAGGTGGGAGGGGGATGGGCAAGTGATGTGTGTGAGCGGGGCAACAAGAGGGCAGGGGTTGGAGGAGTGGGAGGAGAGAATGGCGCACCGATGAGCATGTGGCCGAGGTGGTCGCACGTGGCAGTCATGGAGATGGCAGCGGGCGGGGACGGCGACGAGGAGGGCGGCTGCATGGTGGCTGTGGTGGTGGGGCTGGGAGAGGGCCGTGGGGTGGCAGGCGAGGCAGTGGGAGCTGAGGGGGCGGCATAGTTGGCGGTGTAGTCAAACTCCATGAGGGCATGGCGCAGAGAGAGCACGGGGGGCACGTCCTTGAGCTGCAACAGGAAGCCCTGTAGGTGTGGCGGGATGTGGAGGCAGCAAAAGGGACGAGGGTGGGAGGGAGGAGGTTTAAGAAGTGCAGCACGTGCGGGTGTTCAGGTATTTACACGGTGTGCATATGGGCTGAGAGTGGTAGATCTGGCAGTGCAGCCTCGTGCCTCCCATGCAGCATTCCGTGTGTGACCAGAGCACCCATCACCTTGCGAGGGCGCACATGAGGCACCACCGGATCCTGCTCCCTGCCGCCACCCGTGCTGCTTGCTGCGCTGCTACCCAAACTACCCGAAGTGCCCTCCTTGGGACTATCCTCAGGCTGAGAGGCTTGCTCGGTGGTGGCGGAGGCAGGGGCGGTGTGGAGCAGGGCGTGGGCAATGAAGCCCGACGACCACGTGCCCGTCGCCACCACCACCGCCTGTGCTGCCACCACCCTCCGCTGCCCTGTCGCCACTCCCACCACCCTGCCGCCTCCTGCCGCCCTGCACACTCCCACGGGGGGTGATTGCACCCAAGCACATGCATTGGCACACGTACACATGCATTGGCACACGTACACATGCATTGGCACACGTACACATGCATTGGCACACGTACACATGCATTGGCACACGTACACATGCATTGGCACACGTACACATGCATTGGCACACGTACACATGCATTGGCACACGTACACATGCATTGGCACACGTACACATGCATTGGCACACGTACACATGCATTGGCACACGTACACATGCATTGGCACACGTACACATGCATTTGGACACATGCATGCACACACACACTCACCACACAGGCGCACACACCAAGCCACACACGCACATACACCACATGCAAACACATGCTTGCAAAGCTCGCTGCGCGCGCCAAGCATGCCTAGGAGTGGAGCTTCAGCAGCAGAGGGGTTGGGGGTTGAGCAGCAGGGGGCAGCAGGGGGCAGTGGGTGCTGACCGGAGGAAGGAGGCGACGCTCTCCTCAAACAGCTCCACGTAGCGCCCCGATGCGGCATGCTGGCGACAGCGCTGGGCGTGGCAGACATGCAGAGCACAGCACAGGAGGAAAGGGAGCGGATGGATGGAAAACAGGAGGATAGAACGAAGAGCATGGGAGTGCTGAGGGGGGAAGAAGAGCATTATCGTGCTGCGGTGGATGGTATTCTGAGTGCCTGCAGGCGAGTGCGTGCCATGCCATGGCATGGAATAATGTCATTCAATGCTATACACTGCAGCACGTACAGCGAGCAGGGCGTGCATGGCGAGGCGGGCATCGAGCTGCCAGTCGGAGGGCAGCAGCAGCGCGGACGAGCACCCAGCCGGCACCTGCAGCGCCGGCTCCACGTCCCTCAGGGCGGCGGGAGACAGCAGGTGCGCGGACAGCCCCGCCTGCTGCAGTGCCCGGTGGTGCTGCTCCAGGGGGGCTGTGTGGGACGGCTGTGATGGCACCAACATGCTGCCTGGCGGTGCGGCAAGGCAGGGAGAGGCAGCGAGAGGCGGGGAGGTGGAGTGGAGAAGCTTGGCATGTCAGCTCACCTACCTCACAACGGTCCTGCATGCCCAACCAACCCATGGATTGTTCTCTAACTCGCCAGCCAGCCATGAAAAGGCGAAAGGGTGAGAGGAGGAGCAAGCGTGGGAGGGTGCAGTGCAGTGAGCAAGCACTCAGCCACCGCACGTCCACGGCCCATGCCTGTATTGATGCGCCCCAGCCGCTGAGCCCTTGCCTGTGTTGATGCGCCCCAGCCCCTGCGTGCAGCCTGTGAGGCGCCGCTGGTCCGCCTCCAGCCCGCCCGCCATCTCCTCCCACCGCCGCTTGCTGTGCTCCGCTAGCTGCCATGTCACGCCGCCCGGGGAGCGATGCGCCATCCAGATGTAGCCCTGCCCTGCCAGCATGCCAGAAGAACAATGCAGCGTCAAAGTCTCAACTTGATGTACCGTGCGCCATGCAAGGGCGGCATGCAGCATGCTCCCTTTCAGCGGGATACTGCATTCCCACTTCTTCACCCCTCACTCGCACTGCCCCTTGCTTTCCGCCACTCTCACGCCTTCCCCTTTCTCTCATCCTCTCCTCGTCTCGCTTCGCTCCCTCATCCCATCTCATCACTACCAGCTGTGTTGTGGAACCATCTGTCCCTGTTGCCCCCTCGCCTGCGCCTCTCACCTGCGCGTCTCACCCGCGCCGCTCACCTGCGCCTGTGGCCCCGGCACAGGGCCAAGCACTATCAATCACCGCAACTCTGGTGTCGGGTGATGACATCAGCAGTGCGTCAGCGAGGCAGAGCCCCACCACGCCAGCACCCACAATGACCACGTCAGCCTCCACATCCCCCGTCACTGCCTCCGCGTTCCCCCGCCCCCACTCCTCCTCTCCGCCCCGCGCCCCTCCCCCCGGCACCGCGTTCTCCCACGGAAACGACGCCAGCCCAGCCGCTTCCGCCGCAGAGCGGCACGCCGTGGGTCGGCGGACGGCGCGAGGCGGGGCGGCCGGTGATGTGGCTGGGGGGAGCGCTGTGCGGAGGGCAGCAGGCGCTGTGGTGAGCGCAGCGGTTAGGCGCAGAGGAGGCCGCGGAGAGCGCGGTTGGAGAGGTGAGGAGTGCTCGGGCGACGAGCGGTGGCAGGGAAGGGGGGGCCGCGAAACGCGCAGAGGTATCGCCATGGCGGCGCGGGAGGAGAAGTGTGCGGGGCGGTCTTAGGGCGGCGCGACAGCGAGATAGCGATGGTGAGTTTGCGAGTTGGCGCATTGGGGGGTTTGGAAATTGGAATTTGGCTGGCGGGGGAATTTGGCAGGTGGGGGGGATTTTGCCGATGTGGGGAATTTGCGCCCGATCTGCATGGTAAAAAATCCACGTTGTAAAGTTGTTTTGACATTATATAAATCAATTCAGGCACTTTCCTACATCGAAACATCAGATAGATTCTTTATCCGAAATGGAAGACACACAGCACGAGAGGCAGGAGTTGAAGCGTGGAGCATCGAAGGGAACACCGAGGCCCTGCGCCAGCCAACCCAAGGGAATACTGGGAATCTCGAATATTCACATTTCGCCACCACCCCATCCCAGGCACCTCCATGGCTTCCCTTCGCCCGCACCCCCTCATTCGTCCCGCGCCACCCACGCACCAAAGCGTCACCCCGCCCGCGACTCTCCATTTAACGCCTGTACTCTCCCCCACGCTCTCCTCGCGCCCCGCATTCTGCCATTTGCCGCTCAGATTACACGCCCGCCCTATCTTCAGCACTCGCACCGCGCGCCAATCCCCGGCCGTCCCTTCCGCTTCCGCCATGCCTGCGCCACCCGCCCCGGTTCCCGAGCACCTCGTGCAGTTCGCGCACCGCCTGGCGGACGCCGCGCGCGAGGTCGTTCCGCCGTTCTTCCGCCAGCCAATCGGCATCGAGCTGAAGGCGGACGAGAGCCCTGTGACGGCGGCGGATCGCGCGGCGGAGGCGGCGATAACGGCGCTGATCCGCGCGGAGTACCCCGCGCACGGCATCCTGGGCGAGGAGCAGGGGCTGCAGGGGCCCGTGCGGGCGGGAGACGCTGGGGAGGGCGCAGCGGGGGGAGAGGGCGAGGGCGGGTGGGAGAGCGAGTGCGAGTGGGTGTGGGTGATCGATCCGATCGACGGCACGGCGAGCTTCATCACGGGCAAGCCGCTCTTCGGCACGCTCGTCGCGCTGCTGCACCGCGGCCGCCCCGTGCTGGGCGTGCTCGAGCAGCCCGTGCTGCGCGAGCGATGGGTCGGCGTTGCTGGCCGCCCCACCACCTTTAACGGCGTCCCGGTCGCCACGCGCCGCTGCGCCGATCTGCGCGACGCGTACGTGTACACCACGTCGCCGGACCTCTTCCCCGGCGCCAGCGGCGAGGCGTTCCGCGCGGTGAAGAGCGGTGCGCGCAAGGCGAACTACGGGTGCGACTGCTACGCGTTCGGGCTGCTGTCGAGCGGGTTCGTGGACGTGGCGCTGGAGTTCGGCGTCAAGCCCTGGGACTACCTCGCTCTCGTCCCCATTGTGGCGGGCGCGGGCGGGCGCATGACCGACTGGCGCGGGCGCGAGCTGCGGCTGGCGTCGCTGCGCGCGGAGGACTGGGTGGGCGACGTGGTGGCGACGGGCGACGCGCAGCTGCATGCGACGGTGCTGGCGACGCTGGCTTGGGAGCAGCGCGGCAAGGGCGAGTGACTGGCGCGCAGTGCTGGGAGCGGACGGGGGAAAGGGCGAGGAGGCTGCGAAGGAAGGGGGAAGGCGGGGATGACGAGAGGGCGAAGGGGTGGGAGTGAGGGGTGACGACAAGACGCATTGTGCGAGGGGGTGGGAAAGCAGAGCAGCTGTGAGAGGCAGATGGTGAGGTCCACGCAGGAGCACAAACAGTGGGCTGGCTGACGTTGCTTGCTTCATGGGTGCTGGCCCCCTCATGCCTCCACAACACACTCATCCTCCACACACTGCTGCTCCACCGCCTAACAGAGGCAGCAAGCCAAGGGAGCAGCAGTCATGGCAGCATGGCCAGCTTGCATGTCATTGTGATCCACATTCATCCTAATGTACTCCGCTCGAATAAAAGCGTTGCCAACATCACCGTTCGGCCGTGTATGCAGACTTCATCACAATCTATGAGAGTGTAGCGCATCTGCTGTGTTACTGACCTCAAGCAGTCAAGCTTGCAGTTTTTCTTACTGCAGCCTTGGTTTCTCTCCATGTAAGCTGCACGTGGTGCGGTTACGGTATGTGGTTAAGCATGACCTGATATGCCAGTCCTGGTAGTGTTCCTGCACCAGTGCCACCTCACTTGCCCTGTGCTGCCACTGACTGCCGTACTGCTGCCGCTGGCCGCCTGCATGGGATGGCCTCTTCATCTTACACAAACCCTCAACATGGGGCCCAAGCTGTTCTTTTCTGATTTGTGCTCCATGATCCCAGTCTGTAGCCAAGTAAGCACCTTACAGTAAGCTGATCATTTTCTACCATGCTGTGCAATTCGAGTTAGCATTACGCTATATCAACTGAAGTGATCAGATGATCAGATGTATGATAGATTCTTTTCAGCTGTCCATAAATTTGCTAAATGTACCCTGTTTCACCATGTTATGTTACCTACAAGAACAATTTTGTGATTCCCGAAGGCGGGGCGCTGATATCGGAGCACAGTACCTAGAACCTCCCGCAGATCGTCTCGCCAGTCCCTTTCAAAACTGTCCCGCAACGGCCTCCGCCATGCAGCCCCGCGCTCTCCTCCCCCATTCCCCGCGCCCTTCCGCCTTTTCCCCGCTCACCCATCCCCTGCTCACCCGCGTTTCCGCCGCTCCCCGCCGCATCTCGCCTCGCGCCCAGCAATCAGGCCCTTCCGACACTCCGCGCGCCGATGCGCCCGCGCCTGCGCAGGCCACGATGGCGGACGGCACGGAATTTGTGCGCGCGCATCTGCTCCGGCTGAAGGCCTACACCCCCATCGTGCCGTTCGAGGTGCGCCCATCCGCCCTTCCAGGTGCGCCGCGCCGCCACGCCGCGGCTCTGGTCATGGCGTGCCGTCACCAGAAATTCCCCCGTGTTCGAAAAGGCGTGGCGTGGCGCGGCATCGCCACGGATCAGCCCCATCTTCCGCCTGCGCCCTGCACTGCATTGCATTGCCCGCCGTGCCTACCCCACTCCATACCCTCAATCCCATCGCGCCTCTCCTCCCCCCACAGTCTCCGCATCGCTCACCCCTCTCCCTCCCTTCCTTCCCCGCCCCTCTCACTGCACTGGTGCGCCTGGGCGGGCGGGGGACTGCGCGCGCTTGGATTGGGGGGAGGGGGGGGTGGCGGAGCAGGTGCTGTCGGCGCAGCTGGGGCGCGCGCCGGAGGACATCGTGAAGCTGGACGCCAACGAGAACCCCTACGGCCCGCCTCCTGAGGTGCGCTGCTGCCCTGGGGGGGGAGAGAGTGCAGGGGAGGGGGGGAATGCAGGGGGCAGGAGGGAGTGGTGGGGCCAGTGGGGAATGCAGGGTGCGGTAAGCAGTGAGGGTGGTGATGGGGTTGTGGCGAGGGCAGTGCATGTGCGTGGGTGCTCTTCGACCACCCGTGCCTCCTCACTGCCGTGCTTGCCCTTCCTGCTTGCAGTAGGGCAACTCTCCCACTTGGTATAAACGCATGTGTGTGTGTGTGTGCGCGCGCGCGTATGCATGCATGTGTGTGTGTGCGCGCGCGCGCGCGCGTGTGTGTGTGTTTGTGTGTGTGTGTGTGTGTGTGTGTGTGTGTGTGTGTGTGTGTGTGCGTGCGTGTGTGCGTGCGTGCCTGCATGCGTGCATGGGAGAGCAGGTGAGGGAGGCGCTGGGGTCTCTATCATTCCCGCACGTGTATCCGGACCCGGAGAGCCGCCAGCTGAGGGCAGCATTGGCGCAGGACTGTGGCGTGCCCATGGAGCATCTGCTCGTGGGCTGTGGGGCGGACGAGCTCATCGACCTCATCATGCGGTAACCCTGCGCCTCGCCCCTCACCCCCTCTCCCCCCGCCCCTGTCCTTCCACCTCCCCCTCGCCCCTTCTCCCTCCCGCCCCTGCCCTTCTCTCCCGTTCCCTCCCTCCCCCTTCCCACGAGTGCATTGTGACTGGTCACGCATTTCGGGCTAAATCGTGTACCATGTGCACCCCACCCCTGGCCCGCCTTCCCCTGTGCCGCCTTCCCCTGTGCCGCCTTCCCCTGTGCCGCCTTCCCCTGTGCCGCCTTCCCCTGTGCCGCCTTCCCCTGTGCCGCTTTCCTTCCTTCCCATGTGTTGTGTTGGTGTATGCTCGCTTGTGCTGTGACTGGATGGCGAGCGAGCAGGTGTGTGTTGGAGCCGGGGGAGGCGATAGTGGACTGTCCGCCCACCTTCACCATGTATGCGTTCGACGCCCATGTCAACAACGCACGCGTCATCACGGGTAAGCCCAACCTGCTCCACCTCAGGTGGGCACCGCAGGGGGGCACCGCAGGGGGGCACCGCAGGTCATTCCATTGCCGCATATCCACTTTTGTTTCCTCCTCTCGCTGCTCCCTCCTCTTGCATCCACTCGTCTGCTCCTCTCCCCTACCCCACGCCCCTCTATGCCCAACCCCCCCTGTGCTCTCAGTGCCGCGGCGCAGCGACTTCTCAATAGACGTGGCGGGCGTGGTGGCGGCGGTGGAGGCGCACCGCCCCAAGCTGCTCTTCCTCACCTCGCCCAACAACCCTGACGGCAGGTGCGTGCTCTCTCAGTGCACAGATGGGCTTTCGTCCCCATGCTGTCCCCTCTTTCCTCCTTCCCCTCTTCCCACATCACACACTCGCACGAACAGACACGTGTGCAACCCTTCCCGTCTTATCTCTCCCCCCCTTCCCCCCGTCACTTCCCCCCCACGCGCCCAGCATGTTGAGTGGGGAGGACCTGCAGCAGCTGCTGCGGCTACCAGTGCTGGTGGTGCTGGACGAGGCGTACATTGAGTTCAGCGACCGCCCCTCCGCCATGCCGCTCGTGCAGCGCCACGCCAACCTCATTGTGCTCCGCACCTTCAGCAAGCGCGCCGGTCAGCACCCCCACCCCCACCCTTAGCTTCCGTGCCCCTGCCTCTCCTTGCTGCCTCTCATTGCTGCCTCTCGAATTCCCCCTTGCTCGCCTCATGCCGTGCTCCTCTGCCCCCTTGCTCGCCTCATGCCGTGCTCCTCTGCCCCACTGTGCTGCGTGGGGGCGAGCAGGGCTGGCGGGGCTGAGGGTGGGGTACGGGGCGTTCCCGCTGCCGCTGGTGGAGTACCTGTGGCGCGCCAAGCAGCCCTACAACGTGTCTGTTGCAGCCGAGGTCGCTGCCTGTGCAGCACTCTCCAACCAGCCCTACCTGCAGGCATGTCATGTTTCCGCTAACCAGCAATAGGTAAGGTCTGTGTTGCCAACAAGAGTGGGTGCAACTGGGTTATAAGCGGTGCACTGCACCCGCACTCGCTCGCATCTGTGCTCATGTGTTCATGTTGTCTTGTATTGATGTTGTCATGTGGTGAAGCTGTCATGTGGTGAAGTTGTCATGTGGTGAAGTTGTCATGTGGTGAAGTTGTCATGTGGTGAAGTTGTCATGTGGTGAAGTTGTCATGTGGTGAAGTTGTCATGTGGTGAAGTTGCCGTTTGGGCCATGTGGTGAAGTTGTCATGTGCTGATTTTGCCATGTTCACATGTTGCCATGTTCCCATGTGTGCATGCTGCCATGTTCTTACGTGTGCATGTGGCCATGTGTGGCCATGTGTGGGCGGGGGGTGCAAGCAGGAGGTGAGGGATGCGCTGGTGAGGGAGAGGGCGCGCCTAATGGACCACCTCACAGCGCTGCCCTTCCTCAAGCCCTTCCCCAGCCATGCCAACTTCATTCTCTGCGCCCTGCACAACACCCACTGGACTGCCAAGCAGCTCAAGGTAAGTTCCCACTATGCCTGCACATGTCATGGCACTTGTTGAAGTGATGCTGGGACAGCGTGTATGTTACCGGTATGCAGCAGTCACTGACGGCGTGTGCGGTGGTGTGTGCGGTGGTGTGTGTGGTTGGGGTGGGAACGGTGGCATGTGGGCAGGAGGAGCTGGCAGCGCGGGGCATCATGGTGCGGCACTACAGCCAGCCTGACCTCTGCAACTACATTCGCATCAGCGTCGGCAAGCCCGAGCACACAGATGCACTCATTCGAGCACTCTCACTGTTAACTTAGCATAGGTAGGTATGTAGGCCATTGGGCAAGCCTCTTGTGTTACATTCTGTTCAGCCCGTACAGAGCATGTACAGCCATGTCTTGAGGAACATCTCAGATGGTCCAGCCACGTCCTTATAACAGCAGCTGCAGCACCGGATGACCAACCCTGCTCAAGCCACTAGCTAGCTAACCGTCCTCCCCCACCTTCCCATCCATGCAGTTTGCCACCCCTTCTGCCGCCCGAATCCTGATGATATCCGTGGAGAACGTCGAGTAAACCGTGCCATAGAACATGTGAGCCCGCGCACAGATGTACTTCTCTGCCAGTGCCCGCACCACCCCCTTGCCTCCCCCCTCGGGTAGGCTCTGCTCTAGAGCCAATAGAGCTCGCCTCCAGGGCTCGTTGTGTGTGTCGGCCCATGCGAAGCGGCTCTCATGCAACGTCACCAGCCTGGTGGCGTTGCTGGCTGCATGGGGTGAGGGGGTGAGGGCAAGGGAACGGGGCAGATAGGATAAACTCATGGTTATGTGCGATGTAGATTCATGAGACTCATTGTGTGAGCATGTGCGAGAGCATGGCGACCTCTGCATCAGTGCCATCAGAGGCGGCAACACGGTGTGCAGGTCGGCAGCAGCAGCGCGCATTTACCCAGCAATCTCATAACCCCACACTGAGACACATTATTACCTGTGATCAGTTGTGTCAGCATGGCGACCTCTGCATCAGTGCCATCAGACGCGAGCAGCACCGTGTGCAGTTTGGCAGCAGCGTCAAATGTATGACAAACCAACTGCAAGTTGTGAGCCCATGCACAGGCTGCAGCACCTGACGGTCCCATATTGAGACACTTCATTACCTGTGAGCATGTGCGAGAGCATGGACACTTCAGCTTCAGTGCCATCAGAAGCGAGCAGCACAGTGTGCAGGCTGGCAGCAGCGGCGCGGGAGAGAATGAACGTCCCAACCCAACTGCTTCTATGGGCAGGAACACATGCCGCTTGTAGCTCTGCTTCTTTAGATGCCCCGAGAAATCGCCCCTGATTCGTATATTGGAGGAAGAAATAGGGGGGATAATGGTGGCAGTGTGGGGGGTGAGTGCAGCAACTACCGTTCTTGTTCGCGATGCGAATTGCCGACTGGTTGTCGCAGAACAGGGTGAAGTTGTGTAACTCGGCTAACTTCGCTTCTTCCAGTAGCTCGCGAAGATAGAGTCCTTCCTTGGTGGCTGAGCAGAGTGCAATATATTCTGCTTCAGCTGACGAGAGAGAAATTAGTTCTTGCTTGCTCGATTGCCAGGAGATAGGCCCGATAGGCTCAAGACGGTAGATGTAGCCGGTGCGTGATCGCCTGTTGTCGGGGTCGCCTGCGTGATCTGCGTCGACTTAGCCGATTAGCTTAGGCGTTGTAGTTGTTGGGCTGAACGCCCTAGGATCTTTAGTAGAGTTTAAGTCTGAGTAAATGATGTAGTTGTCAACTTATATTTGTAACTGCCTGTAGCTGTAGTTAGTGTAGTTATTTAAACTTTGTATTGGTGGTGCACCTTATGTGTTTCCTTTGCTATATGTACTTCAAAACTATAGTGAAGCCACACATTCTCCCCAACTTCTCTCAACTCACTCGATACTCTCCCCTAGGTGAAAATCCCGTTCGATACCTAAGTTCGGGCCTAGGCTACTAAGCCTAGGCCCCACCTCTTAACTTACCTATTACTCTCGACATGTTATCGGAGCTTTTTTACGACCTGGCCTGTGGGCCCGCCCTACGCTTCCGCTATGATTTTTCGGTCGCGCGCCTAGGGCGCGTGACGATTTTTACTTAGTCCCGCCCACGGGACTACTACCACTCTGCCCGTCGCGCGCCCCGTGGCACGCGACGGTGCCTTTCATCTGCCCATCGTGCGCCCCGTGGCACACGATGGTGCCCTGCTCATCGTGCGCCCCTAGGCGCACGATCGGGCCCTTTTTCTTCTACTACCCGTCGTGCGCCCCGTGGCACTGGCACGCGACGGGCCTTTCCGCCCCTGCTCTCCCTGAAGCCGCCCCTGACCCATCTGCACCGACACCTTTTCGCCGCTCTGCGGCTTTCTTCCTTCCCACCCCCTTCTTCCTTTGTCTCCCTGCAGCCGTGGGGAGGAGGGTATGGGGGTGGAGGGTGTTGGAGTGTGGAGTCAACTCTCTCCCTTCCCCTCCTCCTTCTTTCAGTCCCACCGCTGCAGCTGCCGCTGGGGGGGGAGGGTGTGAGGATGTGGGGGAGCAGGGGGAGTGGTACCGGGGTGGCGGGTGTGAGGCAACATGCAGCCATCCCTCCACCTCTCCTCTCTTCCCCCCTTCTCTGCTGCTCCTGCAGCAGTTTGGGGGAGGGGAAGGAGGAGGGTGAGGAGATGGAGGAGGTGACCACTTAGTGTCAGCCCGCCTGCATTACCTGCTGTTGCTTACCTTTTATTTTGCATGTGTACACCTGCAGGTTGCATTCTGCACATACTCCTGCTGCAGGCAGTTATGGGGGAGTGTCAACTTATATTTGTAACTGCCTGTAGCTGTAGTTAGTGTAGTTATTTAAACTTTGTATTGGTGGTGCACCTTATGTGTTTCCTTTGCTATATGTACTTCAAAACTATAGTGAAGCCACACATTCTCCCCAACTTCTCTCAACTCACTCGATACTCTCCCCTAGGTGAAAATCCCGTTCGATACCTAAGTTCGGGCCTAGGCTACTAAGCCTAGGCCCCACCTCTTAACTTACCTATTACTCTCGACAGTAGTAGCGGAAGCGTTTTAATAAAGTCCTTGAACCACCTTGCGCTAGTATGTGAGGGCAAAGTAAGTTGATTAAAACAAAGAGATACAAGAATATATGTATGAGTACAGAGAATATGAAGAGACATAATTGTAACTACTTTACTGTTGCGGTTCGATACAGTGCGACTCGGGCAACTGCTCAATGTCGAGTCAGTTGTGTGTCCTTGCTGTCGCGCTGCATTTGTCAAGTCAAAGGTCGCTGACCTTTGACTTTCTCGTAACCTCCAGCGGTTACATCAACTCCGAGGGTTGACTCGCTGGTGCTTCGATTTGCGCTGCTTCGCTTGTGTCTTGAAGTTTCGACACGACATAAGCGCTTAAGGCTATTTGTTCCCAACACCCCCCTTCGCTTCTGGAGTGTCGCTGATGGTGACGTGGCTTTGTCCAGTCAGCAGCATGCAGTACTCGAACTTCTGTTTTCCGAGCTTCTTGGTCAAGTAGTCGACTGCCATCTCGGACGTGGGACAGTAGGATAGTTCGAGTTTCCCTTTCTCGATCTCGTCTTTCACGAAGAAATATCGCAGAGCGATATGCTTCGTTCTGTTCGCGAATCCGCTTTTGTTGGCGATGCGAATCGCAGATTGGTTGTCGCAGAACAGAGTGAAGTTGGGTAACTCGGCTAACTTCGCTTCTTCCAGCAGCTCGCAAAGGTAGAGTCCTTCCTTGGTGGCTGAGCAGAGTGCGATATATTCTGCTTCAGCTGAAGAGAGAGCAATTAGTTCCTGCTTGCTCGATTACCAGGAGATAGGTCCGATAGGTTCGAGGCGGTAGATGTAGCCAGTGCGGGAGCGCCTGTTGTCTGAGTCGCCGGCGTGATCGGCGTCGACGTAGCCGATTAGTTTCATCGGTGTAGTTGTATTCTTGTGGTATGTCAGACCGATCGTTGAGGTGCTTACGAAGTAGTGGAGTGCGCCGTCGAGCTCCGCCAGGTGTTCTGCTTCGGGTTTCTTGAGGTAGGTGGCGAGTTGACTTGCGGAGTAGGACAAATCCGGGCGGCAGGTGACGGCCGCAAAGAGAAGGCAGCCCAGCTTTCTCTGGTAGTCGCGTATTCCGGCGGTTTTGAGTAGAGTGGGACCTCCCTTGTCGTTCCCTGCCGTGTAGCGGTATGGCGTGGAGATAGTAGTAGGTGTGAGTGCGAAGCGTTTGGCGATAGTGTCGGCATACTTTTCGGCGCTGAGATAGATCGCGTTCTCTTCTTCGCGGATGTTGAGTCCGAGGTACTGAGTGACGGTAGAGGAGACCGTGAGTGTGAGGTCCCTCTTCAGCTCTCCTTCGAACCAGGTGGTGACGTCGTCGGTGGAGCCAATGTAGAGTAGGTCGTCGACGTAGACGATCAGCAGGATATAGTCGGCGTTTTTGGTGAGTCGATACATTCCTTGGTCGTGAGGTAGTTGGCGGAATCCGATGCGAGTGAGGCGAGTGTGTAGGTGCTATTGCCACAGCCGCGGGGCTTGTTTGATTCCGTAGAGCGATTTTAGTAACTGACAGACTTGGTTAGGTTCCCCGTGGGTACCATGTGGAAGTTCGACGAAGATTTCGGCGTCGACGGGTGCGTAGAGGAAGGCGTTAGCGACGTCGATTTGCCGTAGTTTCCTTTTCTTCATGGCGGCGATCGCGAGGAGGATTCGGAGTGAAGTGTGTCGGCTAACCGGGGCGAATGTCTCGGTGAAGTCCTGTCCGTGTTCCTGATCGAATCCACGCACGACCCAGCGTGCTTTGAACTTCTCGATTGTGCCGTCTGCCTTCGTTTTGATGCGGAAGACCCATTTCCCGGTGAGGATGGTCTTGTTCCTTGCCACGCTTACGGGAACGACTTTCCAGGTGTTACGTTCCTCCAGCGCCTTTAATTCTCTGTCCATGGCTTCACGCCATTTTTCCTTGTGTTCCCCCCCCCAGAGCCTGCTGAACCGTCGCAGGCTCTTTAGGAACTGCGTTGCCGTGGACTGCGGTGACGAGGCCGAGAATCTGCAGTCCAGTCTGTGAGTAGCGGGGGAGTGTTGTGTCCTCGGGATAAGCTGCTTCATCTCCCGCTTCTGGGTCGGGTTCGAAATTCGGCCCTATCCGTTCTGCTTCGTTGGTGTTGACTGTCGCAGGTGTTACGTAACCATTGTCGGCGAAGTGGTAGAAGACTTCGGCGTTGGCGCTTTCGCGAGGATTTTCTTCGTCCATGGGGACGTTGACGGAGCAGAACGGTAGAGGTCCGGCTTCTTCTGATGCGT